CACCACAACTCATTTTGACAATTCCAGCTCATATGCAATGAAGAAATCATCCAAAGTAAACAGTGCTTTTACATAGATAATGAGAGCCACAGTTTCTGGGTCCCTGCAATGATTAGAGGTGAAGCCTTTTGTATTGAGGATGTATAGCATTGCTTGTCCAGAAGTGGAACTAATACCGTAAGTATGTAAACTGCAGGATCACAAGGGATTTTTATTTTTGCCTGGAGAGACACACTAAGCAAGAAAATCTTGGCATAGTAACGTTCAGGGGCGGACTGACCATTTGGAAACTCAGGCACTGCCCGAGGGCCCTGGGTCAGTAGGGGGCCCCATGAGATGCCCCTGGTATCTTTTTCATAGGCTTTTTTGAGTTTGGGCAAGGACACAGGGGCCCCATGATCCCCTATTACCCGGGGGCCCCATGAGTTGTCAGTCCGCCCTGGTAATGTTAGATCTGACTCATAGCAAATATTATATTTGTCATAGTCAAGTAGCCTGTGTTTAGAATTGATTACATCTTAATCATATGGATTTTTATAAAATACATAATAGGGGATGCACAAAAAGCTTAAAGGAGATCTATAGTTATACCATACACTTATAACATCTGAATTATAATAATGATACAAACAATAGTAATATTTGACAATCTAATTTAGGTTTGTTTTAACCACTTCAAGTACTGGACTTTTTTAAAACAGTCAAAGAACATGTAGTAGTCAAAGCATATCTGCAGTCAAAACATTCTATTTTACTTTTTGATAAACTAGGGCATGGATAAAACTTTTTTTTTTTTTTTTTTGTGTTTCTATTGGACAGGTTTCCAGTAACTTCTTGTTCTGTAGACCAGGGGCTGGCTGACAACTCAATAGGGGATCATGGGGCCCCTGTGTCCTTGCCCAAACTCAAAAAAGCCTATGAAAAAGGTACCAGGGGCATCTCATTGGGGCCCCCTACTGACCCCGGGCCCTCGGGCAGTGCCCGAGTTTCCAATGGTCAGTCCGCCCCTGCTGTAGACACAACGGGTGATCAAAGAATATCTCTCTAAAGTGAAGGAAATCCCCCCTTGGACAACTGTCACTAGAGAAAAGGTCCCCCATGTTAGGATTTCCCTTCTATTCCTGTTACCATGAAAAACTCAAACTTTTGGATTTTCTCTCACTCTCAGTTTGGTGACAATTGTTCTCGGGACAAATAGAGCGGGTCATTCTTCTCGGAGGGGGTCACAGACAACAATAAAAACCTAAATACATTTATATGGTGTAGCGCAACAATAAATTATAAATTCCACATTAATATAAAACAAATAAAAGTCCCAATAAAAGTCTCTTATTATAAACACCACTGTGCAGTGTGTGACAGAAATCTATCTTCTCTTTGTGTCAAAACGTCTCCACCAATAGGTGAAAAACTTCCTCACCTTACTCTTAGACCTTATAATTAGGTGAAAATGCTCTCATCTCATCATAATGTATACACCTGTAGGCCCTGGTCAGATCTTCCTCCAATCTTCACCTTGGCACTGTTATGCTTCCCAGATATTCCCACTGATGTTCTCATACACTATATCAGGGGTATTGAATTAAAATTCACTGAGCTCCAGGGAGTAACATTTTCATGCATCAGAGGTTCGAATCTCATGTAGGCATTAGTGTCCTCTACCCCCCTCCATGTTACAGTCCTCAACCAATCCACATTACAGTTCTCAGCCCCCACTTTAATGTCCTCAGCCTCCACACATCACAGTCCTTAGCCCACCACATTACTGTCCTCAGTGCCCCCCCCATTTTAATGCTCTCAGCCCCCCACTCCCCCCATATCACAGCCTCTAGCCCTTCACATTTCAGGCCTCAGCTGCTCCACTTTAATTTTAATGTCCTCAACCCCCCCACACACTACTGTCCTCAGTCCCCCAACGTTACTGTTCTCAGCCCCCAATATTACTGTTCTAAGCCCCCCCACATTCAGTCCTTGGCTCCTTTTCACATCAGCTCCTCTTCACACCAATGTCCTTGGCCCCTTTAACTTTGCCCCCCACCACCTTACACAGACAGTGATTGATTTCTAGGGCTGCCCTTCATCCTAGCAACCAAGCACCTGCGTGTTAACCTTGGGCAGCTCCTGCCCTCCATCCAGAACTGTCCTGCCTCCCTCTGTCAGCTTTGTGAGGATGACCGCGAGATGGCTGTGGGAAAAAAAGGCTCCTAAATGGCGGGACTGCATGAGTCTGGATGGGACAGTGACTTGGTCCACATACGTACCCCGGTCCGTCATTTAATGATGCCTGCACTATATTATGGAAAACAAAAAAGTAGAACCATAGTGTTCTCTGTTTAAAACAATTTATCAGCGACCTTATAAAGACACACTCATGATATGTAAGACAATTCCAGCATATAATGAAAAACACAATCCACCAATCCCCCCACCCCCTTCGCTCTCCTGGATGGCCACCAAGATGATGCCAAAGGCTCAGCTCCTCCCACCTATATGCATTATGCCCCGTGACTGGACTTCCTCAGTAGGCCTCAAAGAGCTTTTAATCCTTCTCCACTCTATACAAAACAAGATAAATTGTTCTAAATACACTTTAACAATTACTCTTAAATATATCTAAGCCCTCACCAGAGTAAATAATTTGTTCAAGAGAAAGAAAGTAACTTTATATATAAAAATCACTGGTGCAGAAATTCCACCATACATGCTAGTGGTGAGGCCACTGGGAGAGAAAATTGTCTATTTTAAAACTGGAAGACACCTCTAAATGTGAAATGATACAAGTAGCTGATTGTGGAGTGAGCGGCTGGTTTTTACAAATGCAGTTGTGAAGAATCTCTGTTCCAACCCAGAGTTCAAACGGCGTGTGTTCTGTCAGAGGTGGAAAAGGTGTAGTTTGGCATCTCTGCTTTTGGTACAAGAGGATCTAGTCAAGGCACTGTTTTTAAAGTATATTAGTTACAGTATAATATTGTTATTGCCTTTACCAAATTATCCAAATTCAATATATTTTACTAATTTATAGAAAAAAAAAGTCTCCAGCTTCTGTCAGAGCTGTCCATAATATAAAATGCACTTTAAGGTCATAACTGCAAGGTAGATTAATGTGACCAGACATTTAGTTAAGAAGTGCACTTTTCCTATATTTGTTGAAATAATGATTTATGGGCAGCCTTCTTGCACATGCAAGAAAAGTATTTGATTGTGCTATAAAATGTTTTATTGCAAATGAGAAAAAAAGCCCTTGGCCATGGGAATGACAAAGTAGTATGGCAGTAAATGAGTTAAATGTTCTTTCATTTGAAATTGCTTCTAGAAAGTACGTAAAGTAGATTTTGGGTTCAAAAGTATATGTTTATCGTTTCCTGTATTCTCCATAAAGCAAAAATATATCATGTAAGCTATTAACTTATATGCAACAAGTAAAATATTACTAACACACTTGCTAGTTTAAGACATTAATGAAAGATTTCTATAATTTTTTCAGTTTCATAGTTGTTATATTGACCTTCTTGCTTATATGATGACCAGAATCAAGTATGCATATCATGGGAGTTAGAGAAATGTTGGACATTCTTATCTGCATACTTTAATATAACAGTGGCTAAAAGGACTGAAACAGGAGGACCAGTATTTTAGCCAGGCAAATGGTACTTTCTAAAAGAGCAGTGGTAGCTTACTTACTTCACTTACTGTATGACAGATTTCTTTTGATACTAGTAATCTTGAAACTACTGTATGTCTACTGCTTATTATTCCATTTTAAAAATTGGACTTTTTTATTTGTTATCAATGGCTATCCACTACTGTGAGCAAGGGCACCACCACCAGAATGACGGGGTTCATTAAAGCATATTTACAAAGCAAAAAAAGTCCTAAAAATGTGTGGGTGCCCACCTAATTGCTAATTAAATATAATATAAGACACATGGATTAATATTCTTTTAAGTATATATAAACCCAATCAGTAAAATCTCACTCTCAATGAGTGCAAACAGTGAAAGTTTTTAAGTGTTCATGTCATTTCAAAAGTAATTCTTAATATTTTTAAATCTGCAACTTTCACCAAAACAATATTTGGTATTTACAACTTGGGAGGTAAAATAGTGCACTGCCAACCTATTATGAAAAAACCCTCTCTTACCAGCTTTTGATCGAGACTACTAATGCCTGTTTCAACACATATTACATATGTATGGTCCACTGTTGTTACTATGGGGACACTAGGTTGAAGTTCAAACTTTCTGCTACCATGGGTTTGAGGTTAATCCTGATTCACAACACCAGCAAATTTATTGTGAATTTCTCTGAGCTGAGCTGCTTGTAACTATAATGTTCTGCATTTCTATTGAACATACACTATATTGCCAAAAGTATTGGGACACCTGCCAGTCTTAGTCCGTAGGGTTCAATATTGAGTTGGCCCATCCTTTGCAGCTATAACAGCTTCAACTCTTCTGGGAAGGCTGTCCACAAGGTTTAGGACGTCTATGGGAATGTTTGACCATTCTTCCAAAAGCGCATTTGTGAGGTCAGGCACTGATGTCATATCAGAAGGCCTGGCTTGCAGTCTTCGTTCTAATTAATCCCAAAGTGTTCTATAGGGTTGAGGCCAGAACTCTGTGCAGGCCAGTCAACTTCCTCCACCCCAAACCTGCTCATTCATGTCTTTATGAACCTTGCTTTGTACACTGGTGCGCAGTCATGTTGGAGCAGGAAGGGGTCATCCCCAAACTGTTCCCACAAAGTTGGGAGCATGAAATTGTCCAAAATGTTTTGTTATGCTGACGCCTTAAAAGTTCCCTTCACTGGAACTAAGGGGCCAAGCCCAACCCCTGAAAAACAAGCCCACACCATAATCCCCCCTCCACCAAACTTTACACTTAGCACAATGCAGTCAGGCAAGAACCATTCTCCCGGAAACTGCCAAATCCAGACACATTTATCAGATTGCCAGACAGAGAAGCATGATTCATCACTCCCGAGAACACGTCTCCACTGCTCTAGAGTCCAGTGGGGGCGTGCTTTACACCACTGCATCCTACGCTTCACATTGCACTTGATAATGTAAGGTTTGGATGCAGCTGCTTGGCCATGGAAACTCATTCCATGAAGCTCTCTACACACTGTTGTGCTAATCTGAAGGCCACATGAAGTTTGGAGGTCTTTAGCTATTGACTATGCAGACAGTTGGCGACTTCTGCACACTGTATTCGTCAGCATGCGCTGACCCCGCTCTGTCATTTTACGTGACCTACCACTTCGTGGCTGAGTTGCTGTTGTTCCCAGTTGCTTCCACTTTGTTATAATACCGCTAACAGTTGACGTGAAATATTTAGTAGCAAGGAAATTTTCATGGATGGACTTATTGCACAGGTGGCGACCTGCCACAGTACCACACTTGAATTCACTGAGCTCCTGACAGCGACTCATTCTTTCACAAATGTTTGTAGAAGCAGTCTGCATGCCTAGGTGCTTGATTTTATAGACCTGGGGCCATGGAGGTGATTGGAACACCAGAATCCAATGATTTGGAGGGGTGTCCCAATACATTTGGCAATATAGTTTAGGTCAGATGGCTTAGAAGGGCCAACAATGAAGGCTTTATTATGTGCTAGCTCCCTCACTATAAAAGGGTGGGTTCCCAGCATGTATTTGTCAGTGTGTGTTGAAGAAGATTAAGGAGTGCTGACAGTCTGTGTTGGGGAGTTAGTTATGATACAGTGCTAAAATAAAGGGCTAATAAAGGACTTTTTTGTGTGTGTCAGCAACAGCTATAAGTTGCAGTTTAGCTGTTTGCCCCCTTACAGTCTTTTTTGTGGTTGTTTTTATTGAGGTTTTCTATTCTTTTTTTTTTATTTCACATGTGTTCATAATTTCTAAAATGTTTTGCTAAGTGAAAACATAGGTCTTTAATGGCTCAAGTGTTTATTTACTTTTTATTGGCCCATATTTTTATTTTGGAGTGATCGGTATACACTTGTTGCTAATAAAGGCAATAGTGTGCTTTGCCCCTCATGTCACTGTATATCATGTTTTAATATGTGTGGGCCAAATCATCATATATTTATTTCCCATAATACTATAGCTGCCAATAAATTTAGAAAATCTCCTTTACTAAAAATGCCAGTCAGGCCTAACGGGAGATGCAGAGGTTCTGCATGAGGAGGTAGAACAAGGTGAGCAGGTTCAGCAGGACAAAGGCTACACCATCTAGGGGTAGGGCACATCTGCGTTTTTATTCTCAAAATGGTCATGCTATACAGAACAGATTTGACAAATCTAAAATTGAAACATACAATAGATTATCATTGAAGAAATATCATATTCATTGTTCAGTAAAATTAAATTGTGTATACTCTTTTAACACATAATTAAAGAAGCACTGCTTTGGTTACCTGAAGTCCTCAGGAGAGAGATAAAAGATGGCAAAATTCACACTGGCAGGTCCAGCATAGGGAACCCAAGAAGGGGGCCAGTGACCAAACTTAGGGTAGGAAAACACACCAGAAGGCATCCATGTTACTTAGTACTATATAGCTGAACTTCAGCGCATATAATTGCCACAATCTATAAAATATACACAACATCACCAATTTAAATCTTGGGCTTATATGTCTTAAGTCAGATCCGTATTTATCTTGACTATAGTTTTAACCTGCAAAAAATGTTTCCCCTCTCATCACTGGAGGAATGTATCGAAGAAGATACCATCTTCTATCATTATGAGGTATCTGTAAGATATATACTATGTGTGTGTGTGTGTATATATATATATATATATATATATATATATATATATATAATAAACATACACACACACATATAACTAATCCTATGAAAAGATGGATGGTAAAATTACTTTCCAAGTGTCATTAACCTCCGTAGTGGTCTGATTATGTCAGTATTTCTGTGCTCAAAGCAGTACATTTTTTTGCATGGAAATATGTATTCTTTTGTTGTACACCCGTAATTTTTAGGAATAACTCACTGAAATCTGTTCGAACAAGAGTCTAGTAAACATCCCAGCTATGTTAAAATTTGAAACACGAAATCATAAATTATATTTTAATAAATAATCATAAAAAATAATAATATAATAATAATAAATTTAATTCAATAATATAATCAAACCAAAAACACTGAAATTTGAAATAGAGCGCCAAGTTCGCACATCACTGAGCAAAGTCGCAAAATCGTTTTTCAGTGTTTGATGACGAATTTCCCCACGAATCATTATCACTCAATTCTGCAAGTAGTTCTAAGTTACTATCGCTGTTCTCTAGCTGGTCTAAAACTACTTTTGACCTAAAGGGATGCTTTTTGGACACCATGGACATTTCTCAGTTTCCAGGCAGAAAGAATGGTAAAAATGCAGGCAGGGCACAGTACGAAGCACTAGGGACAAAATGTATGTAAAATGGTTTGATACAGTAATGTTTTACTATGTGATTTTTAGTGTATTTAGTGAATGTAATTTTTTCACATTTTTAAATTTCCCGCTGTTCCATCCCCGTACGTCCTGACGTCGCAGGGAAGGGAACCCAGAAGACAGATGCCGGCATCGGCCGAAGAACATTGCAGGGGACACTGCAGGAGGGACATCGCGGAAGAGCAGCACTCGCACTGCAAGGTATTCCCAAGTGTAGCTCGGGGTTAACGCTTGTGGTGCTGAAACTTTACCCCGAGCTACACTCGGTAATACTGCCAGGGAGGTTAAACCACAATATTCATAAATTAACCATATATAGTGATCTTATTATTACCCTGTGAGACATTTCTTTTAATTATATGTGCATCTATCAAAGCCAGCTCTTTCATAGAAATGTCTCTATAAATCACAAGGGAGTCTTGGTCATATAATAGAACAAATAAAACAATAATCTCAGGGCATAGAATAGCTTCCACCTCATCAGCAAAGCCTGTACACCAACTGAAGGGGAAAAAACACCTCCCCCTAAATAGTCTCTCTGATGGCTGCTAATTGCTGCCCTCTGTGGATGCCAAACAGCATCCTGGATCTTCGAACATAGTGGATGCAGGCAGAATCGAGCCACGGCACCTAGAGCCAGCTGCCATCTTGTGATGTAATGATGTGGTGGGTGAGTACCTGATGTCACCTGAGACCTTTGGCACCAGGGTGAGTTCACTCAAGACAGAGAGCTGAGTGTGTGCACAATGCCGAGCAATACATCCTCAAGACCAGAAGGAGAACCTTTCTAAATAGTTTGACCCAAAGGGAAACAAGTTGTGCCTTACTACCCTAATATAGGGCTTTTCTCCTGGCGTCCATCTTGGACCTCTAACCGAAGGCTCCCCCTAGAGGACACATGCAAAACATAGCACAGTGAACCCATAATGTAACACATCAAATAAAAAAAAAAACAGATAAAATGTATACAAATGAAAAAGAAAAAAAAAAGAACATTTTAGCTATATCATCCCACAATAATAATACATTTATGTAAAATTATACTTAATCCTGTATAGGACAGCATGCCTTTGCTATTCTTATGCACTAAGATTGTGTATACAACTTAAAAAATTAACAAAAGATTCATGTCCACAAAATATGGGCATGGATTTCTTAGTACATAAATTCTTTATCTACATAAATCTGTGCAAATACAACAATAAAGGATGGAAATCTGATAAGATTCTACCAATAATGTTATATTATTTTTTGCAAAAATGGTTTAAAGCTAACCATATTGTTTAAGCCTGGTGGAAAAGTAGCTTTTATGTGCCGTATCCACCTTTTTTTCTTGTTGTAACACTTGTCTATCAAAGTTCCCTCCTTTGCAATCCTCATATGTTTTGTCTAATGCTATAAATTCCATGACATTAACATCATAATTATGGATTATAACTACATACCGATTGATTGGGGAGGCTATTTTCCTATTTCCTATGTAGTATACAGCACATGATCAAGTACTTGCTTATGGAAACGCCTCTTGGTTTTACCCACGTAGAATGCACCACAAAGAGTGTAAACAACACCCACTGTGGCACACTCCATGTTCTGTTTAAGTACAACTCCCTCTCCAGTGGGAAGTACACAAAATAATGCTTTCTATAATAAATGGGCATTTATGGCACCTACATCTGAAGGTGTCATGTGGTCTCTTGTCCTGTGCCATTTGCTTAGTAAAGTGACTTCTAACCAATGTGTCTCTTAAAGATGTCATTTGGTGGTATTTAATCACCAATCGGTATTTAATTTATACTACTACATTTCTTTGGTAAAAATAACCCAAATCAGTGTATAATATTTAGTCTGTGTGAAAGTTATAGAGTCTACAAGCTATGGTACCAATCAATAAAAATTGATCACACCTGATGTACTGAGGGACTATCTCATTTCTTGAGGCCCTAACATGCTAGGAAAGTACAAATAGCCCCCAAATGACCCCTTTTTGGAAAGCAAACAGTCCAAGGTATTTAGTAAGAGGCATGATGATGAGTTTTTTGAAGTTGTAGTTTTTCCTACAATTCTTTGGAAAATGAAGACTTTTTTTTCACACAAAATTGTCATATTAACAAGTTATTTCTCACACCTGCAAGGTATACTTGCAATTGCACCCCAAAACACATTCTGCTTCTTCTCCCAAGTATGGTGATACCACATGTGTGAGACCTTTCCACAGCCTGGCTACATACATAGACCTAACATCCAAGTAACACCTTCAGGAGCATAAAAGTGGCATAAATTACACATATAATTCCCTAACTACCTATCACAGTTTTGAAGGCCCTGGAGCACCAGGACGGTGGAAACACCTACAAAATGACACCATTTTGGAAAGCAAACATCCCAAGGTATATTTTATGAGGAATAATGAGTCTTTTGAACATGTCAGTTTTTCCAAAAGTTTTTAGAAAATGTGGAAAGAAAATGGAAAACCTTTTTTTTTTCCACACAAAGTTGTCAATGTATAAGATATTATAACACATAGCATGTGCATTCCAATAATTATGCTCCAAAACACAAGTTTTTGGAAAATGTGGAAAGAACATGAAAAAATGTTTTTCACACAAAATTGTCAATTTATAAGTTATATCTTATATACTCCAAAATACATTTTGCTACTGCTCCTGAACATGACAATACCACATGTGTGAGACTTTTTTTTAAAGCCTAGCTGAAGAAAGGATAAACAAAAAAATTACCTGTGGTTTTAGTAAAGCAGTTGTCCGCAGAGGAGAGCATAGGTCCAGGAAGCAGGCAACAGCCGAAGAAATTGTCCAGGCATCAGTCAGAAATATGGTGGATAAACAGGCCAGGGTCAAAAAAGGCAGCAGGCTGACATCCAGACAGCAGACAGGAACATGATCCATAAAATATCCTGGACCATTACAGGCAGCAGGCAGAGATATGGTCAGCACAGCCTAAGTATTTGTCCAGGCAACAGGCAGGAACATTATCCATAAAATGTTCTGGGTCATTACAGGCAGCAGGCAGA